TGATGTCGACGGTTAGTTCGAGAGAGCGTAAGTGTGCCCTGTTTGTGCTAGCGGGCCTGTACGATGTCAAGGATTAGTTCGAGAGAGCGTAAGTGTGCCCAGTTTTGTCCTAACGGGCCTGTACGATGTCGAGAGGTTAGTTCGAGAGAGCGTAAGTGTACCATGGTTCTGCTAGCGGTCCTCTACGATGTCGAGGGATCAGTTCGAGAGAGCGTAAGTGTGCCCGATTAACTTTAGCGCGAGATGTGACATGTTTATTTATTAATATAAAGGTGTATCTGGTGAACTACAGGCAAGGTGCATTACTGCTGTATGATTGATGTCCCCTTTGATCACTATTCCATTGGCTTCACTGTAATCACTATCTAATTTGCCGATTTCTTGTTTTTATGCACGCGTGTATTCTTAAATATACTGCCGAAAATATGGCCACGCGTCGTCTTCACAGTATACATAATACTGAGCGACAGATACACTTGAGTGAACGCGAAGTGATATTATAAATGAGCCCTTTGAATACGCACACGAACCGAAGGATTGATCGTTCCGTGGCGGCTCTGCTGAAAATACCGATCGTTCCATGACAGTCCTGCTGACGGCAGGCCGAGACCCGTGTGCCATGGCTTCTACTGGTAGATGGTTAGATCGGTTCACTATAGTCGGTGTCACTGCTGTTGGGTCATGGCAAGATGTTAGCCGCAAGCGCAGTTGAGCGAGGGTCGTTCGGCAAGAGATGATTTTCAGCAAGAGAGCGAGGCGTGCCGCGTGCGTCCCTTATATAGCCACGCGGCGGCTCACTTAGCTGGCAACAAGGCTTCGTCGTTGTTGCACTAATTCTTACACGAGGCTTCGAAGGAAAAATCTAGAACCTTCGAAAATGTTCGACGAGAGAAAAGTAGGAGTAATAACCTTGGGTGATCTTATAGTATATTATATTTCGGGTCGTAAACTTGCTCGGAATTGTCGAGTTTTGCTTGTAAACATTCGCGCGAGTGCGCGTCCCGGTCTGCACGTGCGTACCAGTCTAAGCGCACATGCTGTACGCCGGACACCGCGTATGACCTTTCTTTTGTTTGAAATTCATGGGACTGCATCAATCCCGAACAGTAATGAATGACAATTATTCCCAAATATAGAACAATTACATTACAATTTTAATCTTGTAATATTGATATTTTAACAGTATTACGAAAGGTATTTAGTGGAAAATGTTTAAATACTTAGACTTTTTTAATTTTATAGTATCCATTTTAGGTACATGTGATAAAAATAACTACTGCTCAATTACCAGACAAGCAAGTTGAAAATATAAAGAAATACTTAAAATATTGTGATCGATATTTATTATGAAAAGAATAAAAAATTTTGGTTATATTTCAGAGTGATTATATTTCAAATCTATCATAATTGTAGAAGGCAGTTAGCAATTACAACCCACTTCAGTGCCAAGAATTTGGTATCAGAAATATTAAAATTAAAAAATTTTCTGATATTAACAATTGTTACGGATTGAAGCAGTTAATTAAAGGCGGAATACAAAAGTGGGAGAGGTATAAACACCTGCACGATGCGTTATAAACGCAATTCTGCGAATTTGGGAAATTTCACTACGCAGAATACCCGAATATTACATGATAATTCCGACTAACAATGTCGATGAACTCTCCAAGGCTGCACCCTAGTGACGTCATGATAATAATCGGCATAGTAACAGACACCGGTGCGCTACCAGTGTCGCAAGCTCGTACAAGAATATTTAAAGAGCATTGCTTGACGCGTTTCTCTCTTACTAGTTCAAACAAGCACTCTTCACGACAGGCTCGCTATTCTACTTATAATCGCCGTTACCACTGTAAGCAGCAACGCATCACGAACGTTCCTCACGACTACAACTATATCGGCTCTCATAGCCTACGTACGCAGCAACGCATCAAGGAAGTTCCTTACGACTACAACTACATCGGCTCCCAACGCCCACGTAAGCAGCAACGCATCAAGGACGCTCCTTACCACTACAACTACAACAGCTGCTGTCACCTACGTAAGCAGCAATGCACCACGGACGTTCATCACTACCACAAGTACATCTATTCTCACATCGATCTATACAGCGACGCATCACGAATGACACTCACAACCACAAGTATAAGGGCGGCCCAAAGCCCACGTAAGTAACGCACACTACCGACATTTACTCTACACCACGCGATCGAAACCCCCGCTCACTCAAGTAGTGACGCAACACGGACATCCTCCCCACCACAACGACAGCAGAGGCGCTCACGCTACACCGGCGGCAAGAGCAGTATTGTCCCACTTTCCCGTCGACCACTACAGCAATTCATCGTGCAAGGGGAAAGAATCGCGCCTCACTATACCGAGAGTACGCACACATATCCATCGTTACTTACCAATTGATGAAACATTCATCTATTTATTTACTCACACCTTAATTCAACCACCTATGACCATTGAATAATTGTTATATTTATAATATTTAATAAAGGGAAAGACAATAAACTCTAAAAGCAGTATTGAATAATTGCATTGCCCCATCCGCTTGCCAGCAACACATCCACCCACCATCACCAGGAGATGTTTTAGTCTGAGCCGAGACAACAATTATTCTGAACAATTAATCTGTGTAACGATTTTCTGATACTAACAATTATTCTCTAAAAGAGATAGTGGCTCTATATAATTAATAGTAGGTTGTATAACAGCATAGTTGTTATATGGAATAATTTATAGTATTATATATATGATCGGAAATTAGCTACAAGCAATATTGCTAAAGTTTATAAATGCATCAAATAGAAGGACAGATATATTTTTGGAACGTGTATAATTCTTATTATAAAATTTTTTAAATATTTTGTATTTTTCGGAAAAGTAATAATGTTAATTTAATAAGTGATATATTATCTTTACTATAATTTACATCGATTTTATAAATAATTTGTTTATAAATTAAAAATGACTTCTTTTTAATAACTTGTCAAATACATCTGTGAAAATAAATATATTCAATTACAATTAAGTACATATATAAAGTATTATGTCAGAACACTATGTGACGAAAATATGGTCACTGATATAATAGTAATATTAGAATTTTATGAACTATCGGTCTGAAAAAATTATAACTAATTGGAGCAACAACTACTTGGTCGTTATTATATATATAAAATTATATTCCGATAAGTAATATTTATAATATTAATTTGGATATTAAATTATTTTGTTTTAATATATGACATAATAATGACATATATTTTTTAAATATTATAGGTTGTAATATATATATGCTTATGTAAATTGAAAATATACACTTAAAAATATATTTTTATATTGCAATATTTTCTTACCTATCAGTATCTTCGCCAAGAAGTGTAATGACAGCCGAATCTGCCAAAGTAATCGCAGGGGCAGAGAAAAATTCTCCAACAACTACCAGTAATAATAGAAGGAAGAAGGTTTTCTGTATATCCTACATAGATATTAATATAATTACTTATAATCAAATTAATTTCTTTAAATACAAATCAATTCATAGGTCATTGGTATGAAAATAGTTACTAAAGTTCTTAAGTTCTAGAATTTCGTTTATAAATCGAATTATTACGAATGCCTTTAAGTGCAAGAAATCAAATATTTACATCTTTATGTAGTTATTTTGAAATATATATAACTCGATTTTTGATTGTAAATAAAATATAATTTTGCATTTAATAATTAAACATGTATAATTATGTAGCTAAATGAAAATAATTATATAAATTTTATACATATACTAAATATATTTTAAAACTTTTGGAAAATATTAAATTCAAATTTGTTTCAATTATAACTGTATTACTTTTATAATTATAAATTACAATTATAGATTATTTTAAAAGATTTTGCATAACAATCTTCTAATAAAAATATATATTCGAGATTCCGAAAATTATTCGAATGTTATCATTTCATTCATATCATATGGGAAAATACCTAACCGTTATCATTTCGGGGGAAAACTCCAACGGTTATATTTACTCGGAAATCCTCCAACGATTGTTGGAGGTCCGGAAAAACAAGTGCAAAATGGCCTCCGTTGTTTTTCGTACCACGACTGCATTCATTGTTTCAATAACCACAATCGCTACCTTATTGGCAGCTAACAAAGCTGCTGCTTGGATATTTAAGGCAAGCGCTAGTCAGCCATAAGATTCAGCTAAAACCGAGTCACTCGAGCAATCGCACACATTCTCAGCAGAGCCGCTACGGAAGGTACACTCAAGAGCTTCATACTAAGTAGAGTCTTATATACAGTGCACCAAGCACGAAGCTGTTTCAGGCCTTTCTCACCCTTTCACACCACAAGACAGCTTGGAGGAGACCAGCAAACAAGTTACCACTATGTGGTACTACACAAAGAAGTGTCAAGAGACTTACGATCTCTCACTTTTCAGTATAGTACTTCACGACCAAGCGTACTGCATGAGATACAGAAATTTTAGAACATGCAAAGGACTTTTTAGAACAATATTTTAGTTCAATTTAAAGGTCGATAAATAAAAATGTATTTATATAATTATTTAATCATTATGTGAGTTCTTATTCGGTTAGAATTTGAATTCCCTAATATTGTCGTTGATTATTTGTAATAAGCTAGTAATCAGTAATATTTTAAAACTTAAATTTTTAAAATTAGAAATATTCTAATTTTAATTTAATAGAAAATATCGGTATCTATACTGTAGAATACATTTTTATCAAAAATTCTTCTTACTTATTTTTTTTTTAATAATTTGTTATTATTTGAAAGATTATCTCAATATAAAGGTTTCAATTTATAACAACTCGGCATATTTTCATATTAAATTATATTAGCCAACATAGATATGGAAAGTATTATAATCCTCCAGTTATTTAATTAAGAATTTAATTAATACAAAACTTCAGTACAAATATAATAAATGTTATAAAGTATATGACTGTTAAAATATCTATCTAAACTTACATGAAAAATTTATTATTAATATATATAGATTTTTAATCTTATATGATGAAATAATGTAATAGCTAAACCATAAAGTACGTTATATTACATAAATAATTTGAGATGAGCTATACAGTCCCTCTACAATTTTATAATGTTAGAATCGAATCAAATAATCTTCCTAGCATTAAAAAACATTAAAAAATAGTTGACCACATTAGAGCGATTTTACTATTTTGCCAACGATGAACTGTCACCATACAATTGTTTAAAATTTATGTAATATATATCGATGTATACAACGGAATAACAAAATGTAATAAAAAACTTATGCCAAGGTCATCTCGGGGGTTGCACTATAAAATGACTTTCGTGCACTGGCATGGGAGAATCTAACAGAGCGATATGCAAACTCCCCACTATCAATCCAATCTCGTCTCAACCAACTCCTCTTCAACTCATCAACATTGAAAGATGAGGCAGAGTTGATAGAAGATCTAATTAGCGATGCCAATGACTTGTTAAAGAAAATTGCACCTATTAGACATCAAAATTGACAAATGGGACTGCTTAAACGTCCACCAAGTCACACAAAATCTCATCCAGTACACAAGAGGGCAGTGGAAAAGCTCACTAGACGACTTCGACTTCCACCCTAAGTTTGAGCAATTCAAAATATTTCTAATGTCTCGAGTGAGGGTTCTAGAGAACATAGAGGAACCCGCGGGATCAAAACGATCAGTCCGATCTCATTCACCGAAAAAGAGATCAGTGAGCTTAACAGTCGTCAGTAAAGATTGAATAAAAGAGCCCACAAGAAGACCAAAAGAATGACAAGACTACTGCCACCAAAAACATTTGTTGACCGTATGCCCAATGTTCAAAGAAATGTCGATAGCGGAGTAAAAGAGTTTCGTAAGTAACCGACACTTATGTTATGTCACAAACGGCATAATGCACTACTGAATGAAGAACAAATCATGAGTTCAACCAAAGCAAGTCACAGTTCACAGCACTCCACATAGACTATTATCATTAATAACCCGTTGCCCACTGCATTGGCCAAAATAAGTTCATCATCAACAACTTTACTTTAGCTCGACTTCTAATCTATACAGGCTCTGAAATCACGTTCGTCACAGAGGATCTAGTTAAGAAGCTCAATATACCTCATAAATTTTCCGCTGTCCTCACTCATGGAATTGGAGGATCTCTCTCAACTAAGGTACAAGGTGCTGTATCACTCACCCTTCAATCAAATCATTCTAACTCCTCGGTCACTGTTCAAGCTTACATCTTCAACATATTGACCACAATACTATCACCCTTCAAAAACTCAAGTCAGGCATGGCCGCATCTGAGAAGCTTAACACTAGCAGATCCAGAGTATCTTCCACCAAGACCGGTGGATATTGTTCTTGGAACAGACGCATGTGGACAGATAATAAGGTCTAATATCATCAAGTATTTTCCAACCATGCCAATAGCGCAATTGTCCATTTTTGGATGGCCAGTAATTGGACCTGTCAGCTTCACAAACACTTTGACGTAAGTACCGCTCTACACATCGACACAGGATGTAGAGGATACTTTGCAAGAAACATTGACAAGATTTTGGGTGCAAGAAGAAGTGACAAATGGCAATGATCGTTAATACACACTTGATGAACAGTGATGTGAGAACCACTTTAAAAAAATTCATTCACGTGAGCCAACAGGGAGATAGATCGTTAGGATCCCACTTAAAACATCTGTTGAGGTACTCGACGATTCTCACAACAATGCCCATCTCTGTCTACAAGTTTAATAAGACGATTCTTAAAAGATGAAAATTATCGTCAGCACTATCAACAATTCATGACGGAATATTAGGAACTTAAGCATAAGAAGAGAGTTTCTGCAGTGTCCCATCATTAAAATCAATACTATCTGCCACATCACGGCATACTGAAACCAGGTAGCACTACCACAAGATAACAGTGGTGTTCAACGTCTTCAGCGTTTCGACATCAGGATACTCGATCGATGATTTTATGTACACTGGAGCCAATTTGAATTCAAAAATTTCAGACGAGTTAATCTGAATTAGCCGGAATCGATATCTATTTGCTACAGACACGGCAAAAATGTATAGGCAGTTACGAATTCACAAGGACGACTGGGATCTGCAGAGAATCCTTTGGATCGACGAACAAACCATGGAAGTATCATACCATCTGATCACAGTTGCCTATGGCACGAGAGCCGCCCCATTCATAATAGTCTAAACATTGCTGCAACAGGTGGAAGACGAGGGAGAAAAATACCGTCTAACAGTGCTATCCATAACGCATGGCAGATATGTTGATGACATCTTTGGAGGTGCGGACACGCCGTAACAGTTAATCGAAACCGTACTGCAACTGCATAAACTCTGCATGGCGGGTGGTTTCATGCTGGCAAAATGGTACTCAACAAGACAAAGATCCTCACCGCTATTAAAGCAGACCAGAAACAGGAGTTATTAATAGCATTTGACGATTGCACAACCAAAATTCTCAGACGACAATGGAGTCCTCAAGAGGATCGATTTACTTTCTCAACAACAATGTTTTCACAAACTGACCGTCTCACCAAATGCACAATATTATTAGACATTGCAAAAAAACCATTAAATTTTGTTTTACCAATCATGATAAACGTAAAAATGATTTTCCAAAAATTGTGGTTACATACACTTAAATGGGATGACCCATTACCATGTCAGATCATTGCTCAGTGCCGTATCATTAAAAAAGATCTTTCAGAGTTGAACAAAATTGCGATACGTCGATGGTTTCATATAGAAAGCATATATACAGTAGAATTGCATGGCTTTTCTAATGCCTCACAATTGGCAATGGTAGCAGTCATATATCCTGTTATTTACAACACAAATAAGCCTAAAGTTGCTTTCGTGTGTCCTAAGACTAAGGTAGCCCCTCTAATGTGGCATACTATTCCAAGGTTGGAGTTGGCAGCGGCCCTACTGTTGTCAAAACTTATACTGTGCATCAGATCCAGACTGAATGTAAAGGTAAAGGCAACAATACTTGTGGTCGGATTCTCGGGTAACACTCACATGGATCAAGTTTTACGCATCGCGCTGAAAAGACTTTGTGAGAAACAGGCTTACTCAAATTCAGGAGATTACTTATATAAATACAGGAGGTTATTTCAGATGGAATTACGTTCCCGGGACATCGAATCCTGCAGATTGCGCATCCCAAGGACTAACGACAAATCAGCTCTAAAATCATCCACTATGGTGGACTGGATCATTCGTGGCCAACTCAGCCGACGTAGAGCGACAAGCAATGCAATCAGGAAGCTCGTCCTGGCATCTCATTAGTAGCAGCAGCTCACCAGCCGGTTTATCACTGGGACATTACAAGTACTCAACTCTTATTAAGTTATTGAGGATAATATCTCTATGTATCAGAGTTCTTGCACGTTTAAAGAGTAAGCACGAATCATCTCCAATCAAC